CGGTAGAAAACTTCTTTTTTTTTAATTTAATCAGCAATTAAAATCTGTTTAAAAGCATTGCAGATTATGTTATTGTTTGACTTTTAACACATTTTCTGTCATTTAAAAGGAATGGGAATGAAACTGGTCTTAATTATTTTTTTAATCAGTAGATTAAAATCATGACTACCATGACACCTTGCATTATTTAGCAACTGAAAAGGTTTATGTGACCATTTCTCTTGGCCGAAAACTATCAAAGGAAAATCATTGTTACAGCATGCCAATTCCTGATAGTTTCCCTTCGATGACTAAAAAGTTTTTATTTTCATCTGTAGAAATTTAATAATTAATATTAACTTAATAGCTTTCTTTTCTGAATGAGCAGAATCATTTATATTTTCCACCATTTTTTTTTTTTTTTTAAGTTTCCGTAAGTGAAGTGTTTCATTTTTATTTAAGCATTTTCGATAAAGCATTGCAGTTTTTTGTTACAAAGCAGTACTCATTTAGAAGCACATAATGTTAAAAAAAATTCCTGCTGAATGAATGTAAATATGAAAATGAAGTGCTAGTTTGGAAATTTTAGAAAATTTTAAATTTCTACCCAGTGCTTTCAGAAAATTCACCATTGTTAATCAAAACTCTCTATTTAATAATATTTTGGATTATTTATAAAATATTAGCAGCTTTTTTCTGTCCTGTTGTGTATTTATACATGAGTAGATTCATATGTATTTTGCTGGGGAAAATTACTAATTAATAGTTAGAAAAATGAAAGGCTTCCATTCAGAGAACTCTTGTTAAGTGAGTGTACAGTGAAAAGCACTTTAAAGTCAGGAATTCTCGAAAAATGCATTGTGTTTTCCCAGAGCTGAACATGGATCTTCGATGAGCTAAACCGGTGTGATGCATTGGAACACAAAGAATATGTGGATCATGCTTAATAAAGGTTACTAGTCATTCAGCTTATTCCCAGTTATCCTATCCTAGTCAGGTGTCTTATTCTCTTTTTCTTGTATGGGTGCCAGACAGAGAAACCCAGAAGTTAAAGGAGTTAACATTAATTAAAAGTAAACTCAGGCTGACACAGGATATTTGGCATGCCAGATCAATATGATAATCATTGTGCCACTGAAGTACATGGGAAGTGTGTTAACTTTATTTAAGTTAGCATAATTATTGTCAGATTGATAAAACTGTAGTGTATATTCATGCTTTTTCAATGTTTTTATCAGTAACAGCAGTAGTACGTTTAAGCTTATCTTCAGTTGTAAATATCCCACCAGCGGTCAAATGATGAAGTTAGTTGAATACTGGTCATTCAAACCCTGGCAGTTTATCTTACCCCGATATCTATTTTTGTAATTTTATTCTTAAAAACAATTTACACCACTACTTGATTAATGATGTTTCATTCTAAGTATTTAAGGATCATATTTAGATGCAAGACAGAAAATGTTGTGAATTAAAAGTCAAGCATTTACTGAAAACTTAATAGAAATGCATAGCCTTGATTAACCTAAGATAGTAGACAACATAGAATGATACTGGTTTGTCAGTAATGGTTATAATGGCTGTAAGTAAGAATAGTAAATTGCTAACTTGCTTAGTTAATGGATGAAATTTCAGATAGCTGATACCTTTGTTGTTGAAAACTGGACAAGGCACCAGACTGATGTTTCACCAAATATATCATTCAAAAATTAAGTTCTTAATCGATATATCAAGTATTTCGCATTCTGTTGGCTGAATTCCTTCATTTGTTGTTCTACATCTGTAGTTTAACTTTTACAAAGAAAGAGATGTATACAAGTTGAGAAAGAGGCCTACTTCTACCCTCTTTTTTTATAGCCTTATTGATAATCAAAATCCTTCCTAGGCAATGTATAGCACCACTTCTTAAATTACTATCAACTACTAATTAGAATAAGATTTCGTATTACCGTAATTTTCAAAAGAAACACTGCAGCATTTACGTGTTTAAAACAAATTTTCAGCGGGTGCGCCGTTTCTACCCATGCGGCGCTTAAGGTGCACTGAAAAAATATTTCCTATGATATCATTGTGCGTAGTTTGAATGCCCTTGTTATTGTACATAGTTTGGATGACCTTATTATTGTACATAGATTGGTCCTGTTCCCACACAAAAGACCTCTACGAACTTTATTTTGTTTACATTCCTTCCCTTGAATGGACTTACGTGCCTTATTCACCCTAAACGGGATCTCAGAACAATAACATTCTTCCCTCTTTCAAATCAGCATTTTCATCAGTTTGAATAGTCTCTCTTCTCTGCCATTCGATGAATCTTCCAGGACCCATCCTCTCCCCACCCCTGCCTTTTCCATTGTAAATCTACTGCAGTTTTTTTTCAAAGGCGGACACCACCTGCATTGTAATAACGAATTCTGGCGTATTTCCCCTTCAGCATGAATCGATTTTTCTTGGAATTCTGCCAGACACATATCCCATCAGTTTGGGTACAAGTACTTGTTGGATACTTTTTAAGTAAGAAGGGAGTGGAAAGTTTTTGAAAATGGTACCTAAACAGCACAGAAGCTGTACTGCTGGTTTTAAGCTTAATGTAATTTCACGTGCTGAACAAATTAGAAATAAAGCAGCAGCTTGAGAGTTTGAAGTGGATGAGAGATGCACTTGACGTTAGAGAACTGAAAAAGAAGAACTTAAAAATATGCCACAACAGAAAAGAGCCAAAAGAAGTGGTACTGTAAGGTGGCCGAATCTAGAGGATGACCTTGCAAACTGGGTAAAGGAGCAACAAGGAAAGGGAATGGCAATTTGGATTGTAAAAATTTGCTTACAAGCCAAATTTATGGCAAAACAAATGAACATAAATGATTTCAAAGGAGGGCCTTGCTGAAAGAACGCCATTTACATGTGTGTTAGCTTGTGCCTCAAATGGTGACAAGCTAAAGCCAATGATCATTTTTAAAGGAACCCCATCTTGTGTTTGGCACGTTATAATCATCCTTGGTTTTGCGCCATAATCTCTCACTCACTTATTTTTAAAGGAAAAACTATTCCAAGGGGAGATTTTCCTAATGTTGAAATTATTTTTGCAAACTAGAATGGATGAATGTGCAAAACAATCATGAATGAGTGGCTACAAAAAGTTTGGCAGTGTCATAAGGGATCATTTTTCCAACCAAAAGGGTTATTGATAATGGATTCCATGTGTGCTCATTTACTTGAGTCAGTGAAAACCAGATGACAAAAACTGTCTACGACCGTAGCAATAATTAATGGTGGTTTGACAAAAATCTTACAATTAGATTTGTCAGGTAAAATCCTTCAAAGCTGAAGTCCAAAAGTGGTGGGAGTGTTCGATGAGTGAAGGATGCATACGTACCAAAGCGGAAAAATGCATAGCATCTATGAAGAATTGCAAAGTGAGTAGGAATGGAAATCAGTGAAAAAACATCGTCAATAGCAGCATCAAAAGCAAAAATTATAATCCTCAGATAAAGAGACTGTAAACCAAGAGGATGAATGTGAGATCTGGAAGACTTGGACTTAGATCGGATATACAAAATCTTTTTATTAGATAGTGAAGAATCAGATTTTGATGGCTTCATTTGATGTACAGTTTGCTGTAATTCCTTTGTAAGTAAAATTTAAAATTTTCTTTTGTCATCCAAATTTAATATCTCGTAGTTGCAACATTTTTTTATAACATAGTATGAGTATCACAAATATGGTTTTCTTTAGTGGGTATAAGTATATTCGAGAACATAAATATATTTTCAACATTTCTTACCTTTAATTTATTTTTGATTATACAGTCAAAAGTCTTTAATCCGGACACGTCGGGACTTCGACGATTCCGAATTATCGATTTTTCCGGATATAGATCATAAGTTTAAATCTGTAAGATGGCATGCAGAATTATAAAATTAAAAATATGAAACGTAATTTATAAAAAATGACAATTATGATCTAAAGGTATCAAAATTTACAAAAAAAGAAGCTTATATTTATTGTTTACTTATTAAACATTTTTTAAACGCGCGTATGCGTAAAGCATACCCTACGCATAGCCGGAATTACAAAAATTGCAACCAGCTAACTATTTGATTTGTATCGTGATATTTATAATGACGAGAATTTGATTTAAATATGTCAAGACGGAGTACATCGAGATTAAATACTACATTTAATATGAATTAAGCCGAATAAATAAAAACATCTGCCCTAAAGATAACGATAGTGCTGACAGATCAACTTCCAGTTCATAGCGCGCCCCGCACTCCCCCCCCCCCGCGCAGAGCAGCGTGAATTGATAAACAGATGTCGGAACGGTTAGATAAACAAAGGATATGCCTTTATCCATTTTTATAGCATTCGTTTTTGTTTGATGGACATCGAAGCATACTTTCGTTTTTCTAGATCCTTTGGGAGCTCCAGCATCGGAAATTCTATTTGACATCATCGAAAGTTCAGTTTACTTTTATAAAATTGCCTTACAGTCTGCAAAAAATAATAAGCGGATCCAATTCGAAGATTAGGAACAACCATCATCACACATTAACTGAAATAGAAATATTATATATTTAGCTTATACCATCCGTTTTACATTAAAGCGCACGCGAAACGTATTCTGCGCTTGCGCAGACACATATGCGCAGTCGTAAATGTCTTGCGTGCACGCGTTAAAACGCCTATGCGCATGCGTCAACGCGGCGCATGCGCAGAAAGATTTTAGTTTTGAGGTCGGATTATGGGTGTCCGAATTAACGACTTTTGACTGTAGTTTCATATCATGCATTTTTATTAACTGATCTGTCATATATCAGGACATAGGTCAAGATTTTGCATCTATATGGTCCATGACGATGTCACATGTGATTTAATCTATTGCGGTGTTTATGCTGATGTGGCGTTTCTGCGTAATTTAAATTTTTTCCCCGCCGTTTTTTTCGAGTGCGGCCTTTCTTCCGGAAATTACAGTACTTATATATATGGAATTCATATAAAAGAGCATACATAATTTTGTTTTTGCATATACTCAAATATTGATCAAAACTGGATTTATTTCAGGTGTTTTCTTCGAATTGTGTATATCTCATAAAAAAGAGGTAAGTTCTGTGTCATTTGTCTTCTTGGAAGTTGTTCTTACCATATATATATATATATAATTTTACAGTTAAATATAGTGAAGTTATTTTTTTTCCCATTATGTATTACAGAATTCGGAAGTTGTAGAAATGAGTTGCGGATGGGCATATATGAATCTGTTTGATGATATGGGAAAACCTATTAATAGCAGGTATTAAACATTGTCATTTATCCTTTTTGAGGGGCTTTTATGATATGTTAAAATATGTTCACTAACATGATTGCATATGAAGAACAGATTAAACATGTTATAAACAAAAGAATGATATTGTTCCATTAATTCTGTAGAATAATATTCAGTGATCCAAAGTTAGAAAATTATATGTCAATAAAATTAGTACTGTCATTTAATAAGTCTAAAAATCAAAGAAATTTATAAAATATATCTTTCTTTCACATGTGAATTTGTAGGGCCAGAGTTTTGAAAGTGCACAATACTGTTCCTTTTGCGATCCACCACGAGACTTCTCATCCAGGTAAAAGAAATTTATATGTTTTTTGCACCAAATCAACTATGTATCACCTGCCTGAACTTCAGAATGTTATTTTGTAATTAATAGGCCTTTTTCTTTTGCATTAGAGAAGCTAATCTCAAATAGTTGCCATTGCCATAATACGTTGACTGATATCTGAGAATTGCATGGAAATGTGAATGGTTAATGAATTTCTGTAATTTCTGTGGTAGTTTTTTTGTATCATTTTCTATGTATCCTCATTTGAATTCTTGCAGAGCATCCAAGTGTGCTGAAGAAATTTAGAAACAGGAGAAAGCTTCCAAGATTGGTTGTTTCAATATTTAATCCAGAGCAAAGCCTTAATCATCAACTATGGTACACAGAATGCATTTTCTTAATAATTAGTAAATGTGTTTATTGCTTTTGTAAGTAAATATGGCTTATAACGTACGTGTGTACGCAACATATGGGAAGACTTCTGCCCTGTCGTTTTGCATTAGAAGTGTCTTTAATGAGGTGCTTGAGAATTAATTTTTTCATTGAAAACAATACAGTGTGTCAGCCATTATACATGTCCATTATAATCAACTCTGTGTTCAGATAGCCTGTATAACAATATTTATGCTCACTATATTGTCATATAACAGATTGTACTCAGTATATCAGTATATTTTAGCATGTCCCTTGGTCAGTAAATAATAATAATGATAAATAAAATAAAGTCACAAGAGCCCTGTGAATCAACAATCTCGATTAAACAATGTTTAAGCCATTATGTCAGCAACTTGTTCCTCTCCAAGTATCTGCTGTATAATAATTTATTTTTATAAAACTTTCTCTCATTTGAAAATGTGCACATTCACTAACTGCAATTAGCTCTGCTTCAGTTGTCAAAGTTGCAACAATTAACTGCCTTTAGCTAATCCATGATAAAGTTCCACCATTATACAATATCACATTATGTAATAGTAAGAGAGTGTGCTGTGTATCTAAATGCATGTTTCACTTTGTCTTTCAAAGGGACTTTCAACATGAACTGAAAGAATGCCGACACGGTATCTGATCTTGTATCCAACATAAGGTACATTAAAGCTCTTAAAGTCTCTCTATCAGGAACATTTTATTGGCTTATCTTCCTTTTTCTTTTCATTTGGACTATGCCTCAGGATGGGAACAGATACTGGTTTATAATCTTCCATCCCCAATTTTTGAAGAATTTTTCTTTCATAAGCTTGCTAACTACTTTTAATACAGAAGCTTATCTTCAAGATGCTTAATTTCAAGTCCAGGAATGCAAGTTTCATTGTGATTCTGAATTTCATCTTCAATTACCTGATGAATGTTTCAGATTCTTATAGATCTGTTGATGTGACAAAACCATCATCTACATATAAGCACAGAATTAGCTTTTTGCCATGTTTGTTTCCTGTATATAAGCTTAAATCAGCTTCAATTGTCTTAAAGCCAGACTGCAAAATAAGTCCTCAAAATATTTATTCCAGCAGCATGATGCCTTTTTTCAGGCAATGCAAATGGTGTTTTATCTTACAGACTTTTGTCAAAACTATCACGATATCCTTGCTACATGTATATGGATTCTTCAAGTCCATATAAGAATACTAAACAGACACAAACTGAGTAAGATTCATTTTCTTGTTACCTGCAATACTTAAAACTGAACAGAAAGTTCCCAGTTTTGTTACTGGGCTAAATATCTGATCATAATTAGCTCCATAATGTTGAGTAAAATATTTATGTAATAAATTTATGTACGCAGTATAATGTCATTTACTGATACATGTTTTGTGATGAGCGAACAATATTTATTTTATGCCCAAAATGTTAAATATTTCGTAAAGGCTACTTACTCAGTTTTTTTAAATTCCCAAGTAAATTACAAATACAAAGGTTGTGTGCAAATGGGTTAATTTAATGATTAGCCTAATGCACAAAAACCTTTAAGCAAAAAGTCTAGGCTTGAATCAATATATCCAGCAGAATTCCTTTTAAACTTATAAATTCATTTGCACAGCATAGCTTTAGCATCTTTTGTTTATTTTCTATGTTTCATTTTCCATCAGTGATATCATCTCTGAATCTATAACTTCATTGCAGTATACACCTTGTTTACTTTTGATTGCTTCTTAAGTACTAGGCTCTTCAGAATCAGCCATAAAATAAAAATTTCGTTATATATTTTCAAAATGCTTTGTTTTCTCAATTTAGCTATATTTCTTAAGTATCTTGACTGGGCATTATCTTCCAAATTAATATCTTCACATCCTTGTTCTTCAAAATCTTGCCCCAAGTACTCACTGTCATGAGTACAGGTGTGACAGTCCGTAGGTACTTTAGTCCTTCAGTTAAGCACTGTAGCAGATTTAGCATTACCCAGGGTGCATCACTTGGAGGCCTGCTACCTTACACCCCTCAGATTGGAGTCAAGGATTCAACTTGTTGCCCTCTGTGTCATCAGGGGGATATGGATGGTGATCACGTCAAGAACTGCCCGATTATTTTAAAGTTAATTACGGACAACTATATGGAGGCTAATTTTTATCCCTTGTTTTTACACTCATCATTTTATTGGGCTTCTCATCGACTAATGGCAGAAATGTTGAAGACAGGCGTAGGATAAAAAAAAAACTTTAGTCCTTCAAGGGATCACCCTCTTGGTGAGAGGGGGGGTCAGGATCCTGGGGCCCTGGTGATGTTCCTCCTTCCTTTCCTTCTTCCTCTTTTCCTCTTTTCCTTCCTCCTTTCCTTTTTACCTCCTGTCCTTATCTGTTCCTTTTTCATTTTTTCCCTCCCCGGTGGTTTCCTTTTTGGAGGTTGGGGCTCAAAATGAGATTCTGTAACATCCCTTTGTTTCTCACAGAGAGAAAACTGCCTATGCATATGCCATGTGTTGTGATCTTTTAAGAAAGGAGGGTTCTGGTAGTTGAGGGTGAGGTACTGTCTGTCCCCTATGCTCTGCTTTGGCCTCTGCTTCAGATCGATACAGATGTCACTTAACTATTCCTCCTAGTGTCAGTTGGCTGGTCACTAGCCCTTATTGTCAGTGGCTTGGGATTAAGCTTTCAGGAAAGTTGACTGCAGAGCATCAGATTACATATAGACCCAGTTAGCTGTGATGCATGCATCCCCATGTTGACTCTGTGATGGGTGAGCCATCAAGTCCAAATTTCTCTTATTTTGCAAACATGGCTCTTTCTAAAGCCTCTCAATTATTATTAAAACAAAAAAAGTCATTTAACTAATGTCAAGGAAACTTCTACCAATCTGTCACATAGGTTTCTTACTTTGTGCAACACAAAATGGTGAACTACTTAAAATGGCACCATTCCTAATAAACTAGTACAGTCAAAAGTCGTTAATTCGGACACCCATAATCCGGAATGATCTATAATTCGGACCTCAAAGCTAAAAACTTTCTGCGCATGCGCCGCGTTGACGCATGCGCATAGGCGTTTAAGCGTGTGCGTAAGACCTTTACGACTGCTCATTTGCGTGTGCACAAGCGCAGAATACATTTTTGCTGTGCGTTTAATGTATAACGGACGGTATAAGCTAAAATTATTCTAATTGGTATTTTAGTTAATGTTGATGATTGTTGCGTTGTTCCTTTAATCTTCGAATTGGATCCGGCTTATTATTTTTGCAGACTGTAAGAGAGCAATTTTATAAAAAGTAAGCTTGAACTTTTGATTATGTCAAATAGAAATTTCGATATAATTTACTAATAGTAATTTGTATCTACAAAGCGAAAAGTATGTTTTGAAATCCGAAAATCTGTTTATTCAATTTTCATGCCGCGGATTGGAAAAGTTGATCTGTCGCACTTCCATCTTCAAAAGATGTTTTATTTATTGGCTTATAATTCCTCTAAGTGTAGTATTTCATGTCGATGTCCTCCGTGTTTGATATGATTTAAATCAAGTTCCTCGTCATTATAATTCGCTTCCGATAGTGAGAAAGTGACCCAGAGGTTATTGAAAACGAAAACATTTCGATTGACAAAATTAGTCGGTTATTCTCAACACAGCAATTATAGGACTTGAACAGCAGAACTTTGTAACTAAACAAGAAATTATGTCTTGTTTAATAGAATTAAAGAGAAAGTATTATCACATGAAAACGAAGCAAACTTACATTGAAAGAATGGTTTAATAAAGTAAACAAATAAATATTAAGCTTTTTTTTTTTTTTTCTTTTTGTAAATTTTGATACCCTTTAGATCATAATTGTACTTTATTTCATAAAATTACGGTTTCATATTTTTAATTTTGTAATTTCTGCATGCATCTTACCAGATTTAAACTGATGATCTATAATCCGGAAAAATCGATAATCCGGAATCGCCGAAGTCCCGACGAGTCCGGATTAACGACTTTTGACTGTAAATGGAAAACCTACCTAAAACGCACACTTTTTCATAACTACATTAAATTTCAAAATCAACTTTTTAAACAAGTCAGAGGTCTTTCAATGGGGTCCCATTCCAGTACATCGCTGTGTAATACCTTTTTATTTATCAAAGAATTTAACTTCCAAAAAAATCTACAACCACAAGAATTAAATTACTTCAAGTACACTTAGAGATATATTGATGATCTTATTACAATTAATAATTGTTCAATAAGATTGTATACTCCGAGATTTATCCAAATTGCCTTACACTTAATAAAACTAATAATTCACAAAATAGCATTGACTATCTTGATCTTCAAATTATTAACTACAAAAAAATTTTACTTTTTGACAAAACAAGAAACTTCAGTTTCAATACTAACAAATTAATAAATTGGAATTCCAACATATCCAAAAAAGTAATTAACAATACAATAATAAATCGAATACAACGTATTAAAAATATCTGCACAGACACGATAGATCTACAATGTGAAATTTTGCTTCTTATTAAAATTCTCAAAAATAATCTAATACCTAATCAATTTATTAACCATTGCCTTAAAAGAGCAGGCATTGAATACTCACTCTAAATCATTTAACTGATAGGGATATGATAATTTGTTCCTAAACCTGAGAAGGGAGTATAAGTTGGATGACTGTCAGTTGAAGGATTTGGTACATAATGTATTACAAAGCTTATAATGTTAAAAAGCTAATTGTCTTTAGACTTATGCTGTTACTAAAAAAAATGGGGCCTATTTCATAATCTTTAGTCTGTCAAAATAGCTCTTTGACAATGAAAATTCTTTTTTTTTTTTCCTATTTTCTAATTTTCTTCCTTTACAACACAACAATTAGCCAGAAATTAATTAATTTCCATTCACTAGTATATTCAAAATTTTAACAGATGGTTTCACTCACATGAGAACTCCACAACATACGTCTCTCAAGCATTCCTAGTCACTCCCTCTCCCATAAATTACTTCACACAAGTTTCTCTGCCTGAAATAATTCAAAGCCCCCGCTGCCGATAAAGAATTTCGGACACACAACTCTTCTGAGTAAGACGCGAAGAAAACACTTTGCCCACTTCCCACTAGAAAGAACATAAAGAACTTCCCACTAGAAAGACATAAAAGGCCAGAAAAAGCATTAATTAGCCACTAGAAAGTTAATTAATGCTTTTTTCTGGCCTTTTATATCTTCATGCACATTCCCTTTTCTTATGATATATATTTTAAATTTAAATTTTTATTTTTTGATTTGTTTGTGCAAAGAAAAGATAGCATTATATTTCTTATATTTCGTATTAATTTTAATGTTTATTTTCAATTACTTTGAGTTCTATTTCATAATGCCAATTTCCAATGTTTAATTTTTTACAAATAGTTTTTTGCATTAAAATGCATAAACACACGAGGGTGTTGGGGGGGGACAATTACTCAAGTAATTTATCAATTTTACTGCATAAATTGCTTTTCACTCAAAATTGAATTAGCGAAAATGCTTAATCAGAATGAGTTCTTTGGTGCTCTGCATTGGTTCTTGATCCCTTCAATTCACGGAAATATTTGGCCTAACTTAAATTGCCAGTTTGGCATCACCTATTACTTGAGTAAAGGATGAAACACCTTCATATTTATTTCTTAATTATTGTTCATTGAACAGGAGTTGGTTTGTTCCCCTTGAAAAGTCAACTAATTTCCGATCAATAGCAATGATTACTTGCTTTTAATTTAATTTCTTTTTACAATTCAAATTTTGTTATTCATGATTTAATTCAAGTCCCCGTTAAACATTTTTAACAATTTACATTCAAGTTACTTTAAAACAATTTTCGGAATTAAACTTGCTAACTATGGATTCACTCTTTTTAGATAATTCTACAAAAATGAATCTTAGGAGATAATATAATCAATATTTCTTTAGTAAATAAATTATATATATATATATATATATAATATATATATACACTGCTGGCCATAAAATTCTACACTGGGAAGAAAAGTGAATACCAAATTTATTGTATGTATACAGTTTAGCTGGAGGAAGACAAAATTAAATTTGCAGGTAATTTGAGAAACTTGTGCTGAATTCAGTACACAGATCTGCCACATCTGGCAGTAACGAGCTGTAATCTGGCTGGGTATTGAGTCAAGCTGGTCTTGGATGACAGTAATGAGTATCCATACCATGCGGCTTCAGATCTATGTTAGAGTTCATCAGCTGTGGCTAGAGACAGACGATATGCTCTGAAACTGATTCAAAGAACCAATTCGCTTTACTGAGCAAGTGATCTCTGAACTAGCAAAAATGAAACAATAGTTCTTCAGCAGTTCATGGAGAGCTCTTGTTGGGAAGTGTGCCAAAAACTTAATTCCTCTTATGTAAACACTAATAGTCTTTCCTTTATTATTTGGAAACATCTCAGACCTTTTATTTGTGTGTGTGTGTGTGTGTATGTGTGCTTTTGGTTTGCTTATGTTCTGTCTGGTATTTAAAAAACAAATCACTAAACTTTCCACCACCCCTGTTTGCAATTGGATGGAGTCACCCCCCTCCCCACCTGACAGTGCAAGGAACTGTTTAAAGTGCATAGATTATAGGTGCTCAGTTCCTCCTTGGACTCCCAGCTGTTATCGCTCTGCTGCTGCTTCTCTAGTCACAGATCTTGGTCCTTTGGGGTCTTGATTATTTGCTCTTTCAATCTCTCTTTCTCTAGCTGCAGATCTGTTTCCTACAGAGTCTTCATTATTTTCTCTTTTCATCACTCCGACACTCCTGCTCTAGCCGCAAATCTGGCTCCTGCGGAGCCTTGGTTATTTGTTCTTTTCTTTTCCTCATAGCTCTTCCTTTGAATTTCATTCAATTCTTTAGGTATGACCTTTTATCTGCACTATTATCGCAACATTTATATAAAATAATAAATTATATAGAATAATAAATTATATTTTTATTTATTTACTTATTTTACTAATGTCTTGTAGTCAAAGGCTATAAATTTCTCTTTAATATTCTTTAGAATTAATATATATTTATAAACATAAATTTTTCTATCTGATATATTTTTTCAATGTTGCAGAACAAAATGCTGGCCCTACGGGCATGGAAAAACTTTGAGTGATATTTACTATCATTTTGCCAAATTAGCTAAAAAGGGAAAATGTCAGCATTATTAACAGACAATTTCCTAGTCTTTGGGATCTGTTTCCAATCTAAAAATTTATTTTAACACTGTCTTTTGTAGTAGCAACAAAATATTGATTACAGTAATAAAATTATGTAATCTATAACAAAACTGAGTTTAGTTTTCACTATTTTTTAAATTTTCTTAGCATTTTTTGTTCCAGAATTTTATTATTGTTTTATATAGAAAGGTGTATTTAGGAAATCTCAGAAGTGCAATTGAAAGGAATCAGTCCAGGGAGTGAGCACCTTTATTGTGTAAATTCCAATGATCCTTGTTTGATTCTTTCTGCTTTTCTCCCATGCTCTTGCTCTTGATCCGTGCCTGTTCTGAGCACATTCATTAAGGTCATTGTTAGTGAGTAGTGAATGATTAAAAAGAACTAATTTACTTCAAAGGAGTGGTTTTGCCCATTCGTAGTGGTGGCATGCCAGTCCCTCAGCAACAGCATCTCTTGTAGAAAAATGCAACAATGTACACCTTGAAGATAGGGCACAGCCATGGGCGTTAGCATGTTAGAAATGTAACAGCAGCTGTCCATATGATTGGCTTTGTGAGCAAGAGGTGGCTAGGATATGTACCCAGTGGCACTGTGTCTGTGTGAAATGACAAATACAGGCTTTAAATGTTCATTCTCCTCGGTGCCTCCACACTAAATGCATTCATCCTGATGCTGTATATAGAACTGGGATTTGTCAAAAAAGACAACATGGTGCAATTCCTGTGTCTAGTATTGTCAATCATTGCACCACTGTAAGTACTTCTATCCCTGCTGCCCTTTGTGCTACAGCAGTGATCACTGCACTGATTGTCCACACTGCTTCAGTCCATGTAGCAGTGTGCACTGTCCATGTAGACACTTGTCCTGCACATGAGCTGAGTTCTTGACTTAGAGCATGTGCCATGCCTATATGATCCCGCAAGGCCAAAGGGGAACCATGTCTGTCCTCTCAGCTATTTTCGGCTTAGACCATTGAGATCTTGCATGGCATTCACTATGGCTCTTCAAGGTCCATTGATTCCATACTCACTTAACAGTCATGTGATCCCAACCAATATAAGCAATGTCATGGAACAATAAACCTCAACCCTGATAGCCCACAATCCTGCTCCATTCGAATTCCAACACATGCTGGTAAGCGTTTCTCCCTACATGAGGCATAACATGACGTTTACACAACCAGTGTTCAAATACGATTTACAATTGAGAAACCTGCTGTGCATTCTTCCCATTTATACACAATTTAGATGGTGTTACTCATATCTGCACATGCATTCAAATTTGCATATCCTTTCATTCAAATTTGAAGTTTGTTGCATGCCATCTTTATGGTCAGTTTTGTGTAGATTAAATAAAATTGTAAAAGCTCCATATTCTGAAAACTTGACATTTCTGAAATTGAAACCAGTAAGAAAGAGGAGTATCTCGTTTATCTTTTTAAATAAAAATGATATTTGCAGTTTCCCATCTAACGTAAGAGATAGTTACCTATGTATATGTATGATGGGTAAATTAAAAAGGATTGTAAACAATCCAAATTCTACAAACCAAACTTTACTGAAGTAAAAATCAGTAGGGTGGAAAAGTATTTTTTTTTCTCTTTTTTACATGCAATCTTTTATCTAATAAAGTCGTCTTTATTGGCAAAATAAAATTTGGAAAAAAAAAAAAGAAAAAAGAAAGAAATAGCGAGATATTTCCAGTGTATATACTGCTGAAGAATTTTACTATCATTGTTACTTTTTTCCAGTTTTTGATTACTATATGTAGGTAGGAAAATTTAGAATGAAATTCTGCAGCCAATATAGTGCATGGCATTAGAAGTGTGTTTTGTTCTTTATATTCATGATGTAAATATATATGGGAAAAAAAACTAATATTCAAAAACACAAACATTCTGTTAGGAAGTAAAATTGAAATTAATGTAAGCCAGGCGAACAGCAGATATTTTATTAATAAACTTGCTACTGAAAAATATAAAAATAATATTAATAAATATGGTTTGTGACCAGTTTAACTGATAAGCAGCATATGTTATAATTTAAAAGACAGAAGATAAATCTTATACGTTATGATTTGGCAAAATTTTATATGCTTCTATCTAATACAGGCTATTTTTTGTAAAGTAGCAGTACTACTTTCAGGCATAGATAGAATTTTTAACATAGTATTACTGTAATTTAAATACTTGAAAAAAATTAAGCTTTTCCTGAATTCTACATGGTGTTATATATCAATCATACTGGATTAATAAATAAAATATTTACGGTTATAAAACTTGTGGGCGAAGGAAATTGCCAAATGAAGATAAGATATCAACTAAAAAGACTTCTGCTCCAATTTTAGTTCTTAGTGTCATAGCATCATATCATAATTTTCTCACAAGTTGTACTGATTAATATGTTTAAACTTTATATTCTCAGAAAAAGAGTATTAAACTCCCTAAATTGAATTTTGGCTGCCTAAATTTGGGTTTGTTATTTGGAAATTCAAGGAAAATATTAACACTTTCTAAAAACATTGTTTACCTACCTTCCAAATTCAACAATTCAACATTAAATAATTTTATTCAGAAGAATTTTTTTTTCCAACTAGATGTAATTCTTTGCATGTAATGATTTTTCAGAGAGCCAGATGAAATTAGTTTGGAGTTCATAAGAATTTCTTTTATTTGTATTTTATATGCAAACTATTAATTTCTTGGCGTACCCTTGTATTTTCTTTTGTTCACCATTTTCTTAATGTGCTTCCTGTGTTTTTTCATTGTTTTAGCACATTGCCGACCTCATTGATTGGCCCAGTCTGTAGCATTCCTATACTGTCTTTGTACCGAGAAATTACTGCTGATGATCTGTTGGAAAGGCCTTCATCTGATAGTACTCGTATGTTTATTTTGATGTCTCTAATATAATGGTATTCCTTATTTTTTTGTGAGTGAATGTGTTTAAGATAAATACACTCTAGAAAAAAATATTTGATTTAATGTTTATCTTAAGTGCATACACACACAACTTTGGAATTAAAAACTGGCCGACAAACTTGCTGAGATGAATAATTCACCAAGGTATGTATGGAGATTACATAGGTATGAACATTCTCAAACTCTTCTAACATGCATTTATCTCACAAAAATATGTTCATCCTTTCAGTTTATCAACTTTTATTTGAAAGAAAAGTTTTACTGATTATCAAAAATGTCTTCTGTTCTTCAACTTATTCATCCAACTTCCCTTTACCGATCCTACACATTCCTCTGTAAGTTATCACAGATACATTTGGGTAATGAAAATGGCTTTATTTTGATCAATTGATTTTTGTCTCTCCATTTAAGAATTACTTTTCATTGTGTTTTGGACATAGGTAGAATTGATTTATCTGTGTACACTCCTGCTAAAAAAATAAGCAACAAAGGGAAAGCATAGAATAAAACAAAACCAACCCAAGTAGTGAAATAACAGGAGTGGCAGATTTTTAAAATTTAGGTGTCTGTTGGTATGATTTAGGATCCACAGATTCTGCACCAGGTGGCAAAATGTGTACCACCAGTCCAGAATGTAATCTCAGACACAGAACAGCATTTGTTCTATTGTACTAAGTCTAGTTTTAGGTTTTTGCAGTATGATACTCAATATGAAATAATTAAAGCATTGTTTAGAAAGCAATGTATTTACTATTTTCTATTTGAAGTCTAATTCTGCATTTCATATCATGGCTGTATATATGTAAATTTACTTAACTGTGTTTTATTAATAGTACATGCACATTTAACTGAAGAGTCATTCTGTTTTACAGCATTTCTGGTGGTTCAATAATCAAGTTGCTGGATTTTAAGTTCTAGTCTGTGCTCGCTAATATGTTTAAGATAATTTTTTCTGTATAATGAGTAACCTATTCTAATTCTTATTTTATAAGTCTTCTATATCTCTTACTGATGATACATCATATAATTTTGTTTAGAGCAGATCATGTCACCGTATCTTGCCACTTTTTCTCGAATATTCAATGAAGTAGATTTTGCTGATATTCTTCGGGTAAGTGTATTATTAATAGCCATTTTGTGTAACAAGCTGTATTACATGTATCTGTTATTTAATTGTGAGCATTTTCATAACTGTGGGAAATGTTTAAGTAAGTTAATTTTCTTCTCAGAAGGCAACAGAGCAGAAATAAACATGCTTAGTGAGCTAAGACAAGACCTTATCCACAAGTCTGCTCTATTTCAACAATTTTATTCTCTAAATTGAATGCTTAAAAATTTTCAGTGAGATTCAAATATAAACAACTCGATGACCCACTGATATTTTGTCATATAAACAATTTTCATAGCATTTGTTGTATGAATAAAAACATTATCACTCTGAAATTGTTTGTTCCATATCCCCCTAGCTTATCAACCAATAGTCATTTGTCCTCCAAAGTACATATATAATGTTTCAATGTTTAATGAGCTCTGGTAAAGACTAGAGTTATTTGGCTACTGAAGTTCAAATTCCTTTCCTCGTGTTACATTACAGTAGTATGTTTCATGGCTTTCAGTAATTTCAAGGTCATTGCAATCCCCCCCCCATATCTGAGATTAAGAGAATACCATTTTGACCAATAAGAGATGCAAATACAAGACCATTCTAGTTTGTAATTTGTAACAGGGTCTCAGAACAGATTTCTTTCTAATTTTGCTGTAACTTTACATAACCTTGAGTATAAAATCTAATATGTCAGTCATAAAATGTGAAAATTTTTTACTGTGCTTCACTTTTATTTTTTAATGTTTGCTAAAGGTTTTCAACAGCATATCAGATAAAACATTTGCCAGTTTGCCAGTTTAATGCAGCCTAAACTCATCTATTCTGTTTGATTGATCTGTTTGATTGATGTACACATTCACAAAAGACCAGTTCATTGTAAAAATGCTGCTCAATATCATTCAAATCAGAGCTTTTTTAAGCCAACTTTTCTACACTTTCAATACTACTCATGTCTTCTATTTCTTTAATCGCAGTGCCTTGGAGGGCAGGTTAAATCCAACTCTTTGTTCAATATGTCTAGTGTAATGAACTTTCTTTTACTATGTAACAGTGTTCCTGCTAATTTTTTATTGCTCATACGCAACTTTATTTTGATCTTTGCAACTTTTTTTGCTACAATTATTGTTTCATTTGCTTCTATTTTTCACTCTTAGTTTCATGTTTAAATTAATTCTATCTTATTTACATTCATTATTTTCAAAAACACATATATTTTAAAAACTATTTATTAAGTATAAAAATTTATGCATTTAGAGGCTTGTAAACATAAAATATGTACCTGCACATAATTTAACTCTAATAGTAATAATGTTCAGTTTTATGAAAAACGGTGCTATCTTTGTAGAAGTGTATAAAAATTTCTCTTCTATTTTTTAAATTTAACCATTCAGCATATATACAATCCAAGTTTATTCTGTTTCTCCTACTAAAATATATTTTTTGTCTAAGTTGATCTTTCAAATGATTTCTTTGATTATCTTTTATTGAATTCATTAAACTGAAACATTGCTCAAACTAGAGGCCAAACATGTTCCACCAGTATTCTTTCAAGAAATCGTTCATTCTTTAATGAAAGCATTACCATGTCTGAAAAATTTGTCATCAATTTACGCTTAATTTTTTCACGTGCCACAAGTTTAAAGTCATAATATTGTAATGCAATTGTTTTATCTGTTAATGTGTTACTGTATTTTGCATATAATTTTTCAACTAGTTCTATGCCATAATTGAAATCACATGCACTTAGTGCTATGAAATCAAATCCTGCCCATTCTTGTACTTCATTTTCAGAAATTATTTCTTCTAAATGAAAGCAAAGCAAATTTATAAAAATTTACATAGAATTAGTGTCAATTTCAATAGAGTACAAAGTCTGAAATCTGGATGTCCATTATCCGGAATGACCTCAAAGCCACAACCTTTTTTTTTTTTTTTTTTTTTTTTTTTTCTTTTTGTATGCTTTAGGCATGCGCATTTAATTTTTCCTTCCATAATAAAAACTTGTGGAGATTTTCATATAAAAATTCCGATTCTTAATTTCACTTAGGCGCTAAGTAAAATACCTTATTATAAAAAAACATTGTGTAAGCATAATTTGTGAGATTAATAATTTGGCTTCATAGCTGAGTGTCTGCATGACATTACATCTCAAACCGAAACATTCACCTATTTTATATCCCTGTTCCCAACCTGGCAAGTCATTATTTATTATATTTTGCTTCCATCACCGCACGTTTATCAATACATGACAGCTTCAGTAATAACTCATGCAGTGATGTCTAAACCTTTTTTTTTATATCAGTAATTGAACAACAAGTGTAAGGCAACCTTTTCTACTAACATTATGCTTGGTGATGATTATAGATTTTTAAATGCTCTAAGAAATGTTCACGAGGAAAAATTCAATAAAAATTTCTTTTTATATGCTAAAATTAGATTTTGTTAATGAAACTCATAGGCAAAATTATATAATTATCTATTTCAGTTAATGTTGCAGATTGCGTTGTTACTTAATCTTCTAATTGGATCCGTCTTTTTTTTTTGCAGACTGTTAGAGCAATTTTATAAAAGTAAGCTTGAACTTTTGATTATGTCAGAAAGAATTTCCGATTCTGAAGCTACCAAAGGATCTACAAAGCGAAAGCATGTTTCGATGTCCATCAAACAAAAAGTGAAATTGCTGCAAAAAATGGATAAAGGCATATCCTTTGATTCTCTAATCATTCCAAAATCTGTTTATCAATTTCACGCTGCTCTGCGAAGGGGGGGGACGTCGCAGCACGCAATGAACTGGAAGTTGATCTGTCAGCAGTATCCTCATCTTCAGGGCAGATGTTTTTATTTTATTCGGCTTATAATTCCTTACTAAATGTAGTATTTCATCTCAATGTACTCTGTCTTTGATATGATTTAAATCAAATTCCTCATCATTATAAATGTCACGAATACACATCAAATAGTTTTCTGGTTGCAATTTTCTAATATCGACTATGCGAAATGTATGCTTTACGCATGCGCGCATTGAAAGAAATGTTTAATAAAGTAAACAAATAAATATAAAGCTTTTTATTTTAAAGTAAACAAATAAATATAAAGCTTTTTTTTTTTTTTTTTTTTTTTTTTTTTGGTAAATTTTGATACGCTTTAGATCATAATTGCTCTTTATTTCATAAATTACGGTTTCATATTTTTAATTTTATAATTTCTGCATGCCATCTTACCAGATTTAAACTGATGATGATGATCTATAATCCGGAAAAACTGATAATCCGGAATCACCGAAGTCCCGACGAGTGCATTTAGTGCTATTTTAATTAAGAATAACATATGTTATTAACCGTAAACCCAGAAGCGATGGCAGAATATGGCCACACTGGACAGCAGAATTTAGGAAGACAAAATTTTTGGAATTTGGGGAAGCACCGAGTGGCAAAATTAAGCAATGAGAAGTTTTTTATAATTTAGGGAAAGCACTGGAATCTAAAGTTTAGACATGGCAAAAATTTAGAACTTAGGAAGGTGCTTTGTAGCAGAATTTAGCAGGGCTGTGAAGTTGGACTCATTGAGTCAGAATCGGAGTCAGGTAGATTTTTGGGTAAAAGGAGTTGAAGTTGGAATCGCTAACAAACACGTCGACTTCGACTCCAGATTTTATTGAACAGTTTGAATTTGAAATGGATTTAAAGTGAATTGAAAAAAAAATTAATGAAAAACTGAGTTAATATTTTTATTTATGGATTATATACATTAATAAATATTTATTTTCTACTTTATTGACATATTAGTAAGTAAATATAAGGGAGCAAGATGGACGTGATATTTGCCATTAGTAATTAAACTGATTCATTTAGTTACTAATCTCATTGGTGAATTTAGGTAAGCAGCGAGAACTCCCAAAATTGATACCATTCTTACGAAACAAGCAGAAAAAGGAGCAACGCAATGGAGAAGTACATATTTAATGATATAGGGGTTGTTAGGATTAAGATCGTTTTCAGAAAATGTAAATAACCCTAATATTTCACTAGCAGAAAACTGTGGAATGATCTTGCAAAACTGGAAACCCTTCTTTCAACACCATATATAGCCATAAATAAGCTACAGTCTGAAGAATTAACAGGAGACGAGAATGTTAGAAGATGTAGATAACCCTAATGTTTCACTAACAGAAAGACTGTGGAATGATCTTGCAGAATTGGAAACTCTTCTTTCTATGCCATATATAGCTACCAAAAAGCTACAGTCTGAAGAATTAACAAGATTCAAGACTGGAAGAATGTGATGTTTGTTCTTTCTGAAATGGATGGTTTATTGCAGAAGGAATCATTTCTTTAATGAAGAAAAGAGAAACTAGTTTGCTAGACAATAAGATCATGCTGGGTCCAATATATGTAGATCCAAATCGCCGAATTTTGTTGGATGACAAACAAATTAAAAAGGCAAAGAAAGCCATCTATGAACTTTCATTAAGAGTGAAATCATTATCAGAACAACTGGAGTATTCAAATCAGGACAGTCAGACTGCAGATATTGTAACTGAGTCTTTATCATTGTTTTCCACTGATGAATTAGATTTTGAAAAATATTTGGATAATTTTGAAAAGGCTAAGGCAAAGCGAATGAAAATAAATAACCAAGAGCCTTTAGATATAAAAATGAAAAAATACAAACAAGATTTATACACGACCTTTGAAGAAATAGATAAATATGATTGCTCTTGCAAGACACCTCTTTTAGAACTTATGAAAATCTATTCTGAAAAGTTAAAGGAAGTAGCCCTAACAGTAACAGCTTTTCTTCCTACTCAAGTCAATGTTGAAAGACTCTTCTCAGATCTGAAGTTTATCAAATCGCAACTATGGTCCTGTAACAAAGAGGATCTTGCCAAAGTTTTACTGTTTCTTAGAAATTACGAATGCCAGATTTTCCATTTCATAATAAAAGCTAATTAATATAAAAAATTTGCTATGCATCAATTTTTTTCTGTAGCATCTATTACTTCTATA